GCATTCCAGGAACCTCCCGGATTGCTTATGCCCTGCCGTGTTGTCCCTCCAACAGATGTCGGGATGGTTGAAGTCCCCCATGAGGACCAGGGCTTGTGAGCATGAGGCTGCTCCTATCTGTCTATATCTGTCTGCTCGGTCTTCCTGGTCGGGTGGCCTGTAGCAGACCCCCACCGTAATGTCACCTGTCCCTGCCTTCCCTTTAATCCTGACCCACAAGCTCTTGGTTGACTCCTCATCCATCCCCAGGCAGAGCTCCATGCACTCCAGCTGGTCATTGACATAGAGGGTGACACCCCCTCCTCATCTCCCCTGCCTGTCCTTCCTAAAGAGCCTGTATCCCTCCATCCCAACACTCCAGTCATAGGAGCCATCCCACCACATCTCTGTGATGCCAATAAGGTCATAGCCCTGCAGGCGTGTGCACGTCTCTAACTCCTCTTGTTTATTCCCCATGCTACGTGCGTTTGCATAGAGGCATTTAAGTCGGGGCCCTGATGAAGCTGCCTTACTGGCTGGGGGTCCTTTGTGCTGCTCTTCATGTATCTATGGTTCAAGGTTTACAGGACTCAGCATAGAGATACCCTACTTCCATTTCCTCACTGCTTCATTTAGTGGTCACAAAAGTTAAACAGTAGAAAGACCACATTTAATATTTTTAATTGTAATACATAAACTCCAGCAGTTGGTCTTTAAAAGGCTGAAGGAGCACATTCTTGGCTCCAGGCTATTTTTTTTTTTTCCCCTCCAGTTCAGCATTACCTAACTGTAGATAAAGGACTTCAGTAAGATAAGAAGAATGGGGTGGGCAGATAGGACAAGGAGAAATCCCAACACAGCACCCACAACTTCAAGAGCCCCACCCCACACATACAAACACAGGTGAGACTGAGGCACTCCACTTTGGGACAGCACAGGAGAGTTAATAAGCTGTTCTGTGCAGTTTGCTTGATTGCTTCCCAATGAGAAGGACAAGGACAGAAGCAGCAGCCACCTTAAAACGCAGTATAACTCATTGCTGTTGCTTAAACTGGGAGGAAATTTAGTTTAAGTTTAGGAAAGAAAAATGGGAGCTAGGTAAAATGCTGAAGCAAGGAAACTCCTCGCAAAATACATTCATGTCAAATGCTCACGGAGTTTTTATCCATTAAAATGGTTTTCATTCTTTTGTTTCACTTTTTTTTTCATCCTCATCCTGTCTAATAATAAAGCTACCAGTATTCTTACGCATTAAGGGTTTTACACAAATGTGATAATCTTGGAAGCACTGAGACAACTGGTCACTACCATGAAATAGCTAGAGGACAAGCCTGTGATTCCAGATGACGTTAAAAGAGCCAGTGGTCTTTTTTTTGTGCCCAACTGACCATGAAAGCTTTCTGCCACAGGTTTGGACACCAGAAATCAGACAAAGCAGGTTTATTAGTTCAGTCAATACCTATTCATCACATCAGAGCTGAAGTATGAGAAGAGACTGACTATGTTTGTCTACTTAAGGCCAAGTATCTATACTTCAAAAAAACCAAACATATCAACACATTAAAGACAAATTACTATAAATTAATGTATAAAACAAAATAAATATACCAAACAGTGGTAAAATAAGCATTAATCATATTATATCAAGCTACAAAGTAAACAGTTTGTCTTTCCCCTTTTAGAATGCGATGGTAAAACAAACTCTCGCCTACAATAAAAGTCTCCCCTTCTCTGGATTAAATATCATCAGACACATTATTATCATCAAAACTCATCTTATTAAAGCCCACCATACCTGAATAACTTTGTCCACCTTCAGATCTTCCAAGGAAGGATAGAGAGACATTTTGATGCAGTCTCACTGGGTAGAGGGAAGACAAAAAAAAGGGGGAAGCAAACAAACAACACAGTTAACCATTAGAGATATTTACTTAGGACTACAACTTAAAAAAAAAAAAGAGAAAGAAAACAGACACAAAGCATTAGATAAGTGATCTGTGACCTGCAAGTCTTAGCACTACAGATACCTGGCACTGCTGATAAATTCCATTAAGACTACCCATTTAATCTATTATCAATAATAGCCTTTGCATAATAGGCTTTATTTAATATACTTAGTGTTGTCAAAGTTTAGGTCTCAACAATGAGAAAGCCTATAGAGAGAAAACCATTTCACAAGAAGTATTGCAAAGACAGACTTTAGGAGGCCAGGATGCAATGATGATGAGGGTTAAGAGGAAAAATCTAATCACCCTCCTCCTACTCCTCCTCCCAACTGGGACAGTATTTTATATACAACTGCAGAAGCTTTCACTCTGTTATCCAAAGTATCTAAAGACTTTCATCAGTTCTGATATTCCAGTAAGAAGCCACTAAAGAGAACTGGCTTCCCAGTTCATGTCCGTTTGCAACATATTATTGCAGCAAGAGACCATAAAGCAGCCAGATTCAGTCAGTGGTGAGTTTCAAAACACAGAGGCTTCAGGCTGGCTCTCATGTGATGTTGGGAGAGCCCCATGACAACTTATCAGGAAGTAATAAAAAAAAGCCAAGGAAAAGAAAACAAGCAAAACCAAAAAGCCCACTTCACATGATCTTCTAAGGCACCACACTGACACCCAGCTCCGCTACACCCGGGCACCTGAGGCTTTGGGAAATCTCATTTTCCAGAGCTCCTTCACTCACATTCTCACTGAGGTCAGCTGAAGTCTTCAAAACCGTAATAAAACATTTCACACCAACATATGGGAACATTTTAAGGGGGGGGTGGGCAGGAAGAGGGACAGAAACAGAAGACAACAAAATGTGATACAGTTTTGGAAGTTATACAAGGCACTGCGAACACAGTTAATGAGGCAGCCCTATTAAAAGCTTTCAGCTTGGAGATTAATTTTCTCATCCAAAGAGCAGTTTAGAGGCCCTTATTAGTGTAGCAACTTAGCAATAATTCCAGAATAAAAGTGACACTACACAAATCCTTGAGCTTCTGCTTCTCTACATGCAGATATTAAGTTGGTTTTTAAAAAAAAAAAACACCCACACACACACTGACGCCTAATGCGATATTGCAGTAACACAATAGACATCTCTTCATATTACACTAAGGTCATCAACAGCTTTTCTACTTGTTCAGCAGAATGCCTGACAGCTCCAGTATCATGTCAGACTACAATTAAAACTTAAAAAAAGTGTGCCCTAAATGTGACAGAGATCTAAACTGCGAACACGTGGCCAGTTGTGTTGTAATAACTGATTGCCACTGACATTTTTGACTAATTGTTGCAACTAAGCCAAACATAGTTGAAGCCTGGAAGCTTTGTAAGTTAAACATACACTTTAAAACCAGTTCAAAGTTCTGTTTTAATCCAGCATTGACCCGAAACAATCGAGTGCTTTTGCTCATCCAAAATGGGTAAGAGCAAATGCAAGCCCAAGCCCGGCAGACCCCTCGCTCAGGTAAGCGGTGCCTGGACGCTGCATTCTGCTGCTAACACCAGCCAAGTCACACGCAGCGTCAGACTCGCCATCTACTTCTAAGCTACAGCTGCCCTAGTACATTCAGGTGCAGTCCAAGCACTGGCACACGTTCAAAGTCAGCACACCCCGGCAGTGTGCAGGCAAGAAAAGAGGGCAGGCCAAGGACGGTGCATTCCCAAAGGAGTCACCCCATTTCAGGGTGATGAGGGCCACAGGAGCCGCATTTTGCAGATGGTGAGCTCTGACATCCACACAGCAGCGGAGCACAGCACAGGGTCTGCTGGGTCCCTGGTTCCAGAGACCGACTTCCATGCCGCAAACCCCAGTGTGTTTACACATCGGCCAGCTTTAGTTCTCCTCCACAGACCAGTCTCGCTCTGCACGCGATAACTGGTGACATTTGTCACAGACGGGCAACCTCAACCTTCCTCTAGTTTACAAAGAGGAGCATATTGCTTTCTGTAGAAAAGTATTACCAAAGCTAAACATGTATTAGTTCTAGGATCACATAAGACGACACTCCAGCAGCTTATCCTGCCACTTTACAAACCCCCGGCCACTTCCCCTCCCTATCTGAGGGCTCACAAACACAAGCGTTTGTCACAGCTACCAAGGAGCTGCCGGGCTAGCTCCCTTGTTGTAACCTCCCCAGTTACTATTTTTGGTTTTCCAGCTAAATAGCCAGAATAACTGTCACCACTGTAATTGCATTCAGTGAGCTCCCAACTACATACAGCATTTTCAATTTCTGCACAGGCAGCTGTAGCAAGTAACCCTCGTTAGGTAAAGCAAGATCTGCAAAAATACTGTATTTAGTTTAAAATACGACCTTTTAATAACAATTGCCACTGTCAGGAATCACCAGTAATCACAGGAAGATCTTGTCCATGACTTCTGTGCAATGTTATTCACAGTATAAACAAGAGTTTCAGCAAGCACTGTGACGGCTTTGGGCACTGGGGAATGCCTACCACAAAATGTGAGTCACCTCCTTTTCTCTCTTAAAAATCTACACTGACACCAGGAAAATTTTCCTTGATCATTTCCATATTCCTACATCTTGTGAGGAACACAAGTGTTTAGGAAAACAAAAGTGCAAGCCAAAGGAAGAGCATGGGGCAGGAGGGACAGCCGTAACTCAGCTAGGGACCCACAAAACCCGGTGGTGAAGACCTTTCCCCGTTTCGCAGTACCCGTGGCTGGGCAGTCCAACTGCCGGCACCTGTCAGCACATCCCACTAAGCAGATCCTGTTTGCCAAAGGGAAGTGCCAGGCCACCGGCCGGAGACCCATGGAAAGGTGGCACTCATGACACCCTGGGGCTGCCAGCAGGAAGTCTTGCAGGTGGGAGTGATCCCAAACCGCCCTCGGTGGTATGGATGGGAGGAGATGGGCTTCCCGATACAGTCTCCAAGTCAGAAACTACAGAGCCGAAGGCAGTGTGGGATCCAGCTCAACCCCAAGCCTGGCCAGCCTGTAGCAACTACCGTCTCTGAAAGCAGCAGCAGCTGATACTAGGGGAGAGGAGGAAAAAAAAAAAAAAAAAAAAAACAACAAAACAGCTACCCACCACAAGTGTTATATGCCTGTGGTCCATGGAGAGATTACAGCAGGCCACAAAGCCAGCACCTATACTGAAACATTGGTTTCCACTTCCCCAAGAGTTAGAAACCTATCAACCCAAAAATCCATCTTTAAAGCAGATCCAGGACAAAACTTCCTGGAGGTCAGGCTGAGACATCAGGAACCGAGCAACTGTTTTGCACGACTCGTTCTCCTCTAATAACTCAGTGTTTCCCTTCTGATACATATCTAATTAGCCTCTGAGCAATTGCTCTCATTATGCATTTAGCTCTGAAATCTGCTGCCTCCATTTCAGACCTGAAGCAGGGCTCGCTTGCCCGAAAAGGCACTTCACATCCATTCCGCCCCTGCAGCAATGTTTAGCCAGTCTAAAAAGAAGGTATTACAAAAGCCCGAGTCTCCTTACAGGAACCAGCCGAGAAGTACGGTCCTTATGCAATGACCCTGGAGCCTGATCGAGAGGTCAGAAGACACCTCCAAACCCAATACCGCGGGAGAACGTGGACACAGACACACACACAGGCGTTTATTTACTCGCTGTCTTCTCTGGCTGCGGCCGGAGGGACCCCTCGGGGAGGCGTATTACAAAAGCCCGAGTCTCCTTACAGGAACCAGCCGAGAAGTACGGTCCTTATGCAATGACCCTGGAGCCTGATCGAGAGGTCAGAAGACACCTCCAAACCCAATACCGCGGGAGAACGTGGACACAGACACACACACAGGCGTTTATTTACTCGCTGTCTTCTCTGGCTGCGGCCGGAGGGACCCCTCGGGGAGGCAGCGCCTCTCGCCCGGCAGCGGCCGCCCCCCCCCGGCCGG